CCCCCCCTGTCCGCGTACCACCCCATTTTTTCGGTCCACCCACTCTGCGGTGCCCTCCTCCCCGCAACCACCCTCCTTCTTATCTCTAGTGAATGGTGACTGTTGCTTCCATGTGACATTTGCGAACTTATTCGCGATTCGAAAATCAATTATCGCCAGAATATATGTGTGCTTGACTTTGTTTTATGAAGTCCACAAAATTTAGTGGTACAGTAAATGATCATCGATTTTGTTATCGCCAGAATATATGTCGTAGTCTCCATTGAATGCTGACTGTTGTTTCCTTATGACAAATGCGAACATATTCGCACTTTGGATGCCATACATTTGTGATAAGACCGTTCATATCTATAAATTTTCAAGCATGATTACCTTTTGTGTTGTCACAAAAAAATTGTTCACAGCTGCGAGTTCACCAGAAATGATCATTAACTGTGTTATCGCCAGAATGTATGTGTGTTTAACCCTTGTGCTTCGACATTGTTTGTCACTCAAGGATCGATATGCAACATTCGGCGAAATGGATGATTGCCCAAAATTGTTACCTTCTGCGTTGTCACCGGAAGACTGATCATTTATGCAAGTTCGCAAAAAATGATATTTTGCCGAAATGATTACCTTTTGTCTTATCGAAAAAATAGATACATCGTGAAAAAGATCGTCCTTTGTATCATGTCTTGCCAATAGTGAAATTGGCTCATCCATCTTTGCTGGCATTCATTTCTACCCTGCTTAAGCCACCACTCCGTCCGACGTCAAGAAAACAGTAGCACAAGTTCATTAGGGCTGCCCGTGGTATAGACTGGAGAACGGCCAGTAGGGCAGGATTAAAAATATCTCGTATCGTGTTCACGATTTACTTCGTGGTCTGAATGATTTTTATTTTATTTTTTTTAATTTCAATGAAAAGATTACGAGCAAATCTACCGACCCTCCAATTTTGGGGGTGTGTGACGCATTCTTCTGAGCGAGAAAAACCGCTGAAGTTGTAGAACTTTCCCTGTTGGCCCGCAAATGGCATTGTAGCAGAACTCGAACGTGCCTCAAATCGGCGCGGAGGTTATTTCGAGGTCAAATCATTTTTTTAAATATTTTTGATATTTTTTTTGGAAGGACCACGAGCAAATCTACGAAACACCGAATTTTCATAATTGTTTGTGAATTCTTCTAAGGGTGAAAAATCGTCAAAGTTGCCGCTGTCAAATTGCGAGACTGGGCCCGCCGTTTCGGCCTCGGGTCGCCGCCCTCCCTAAGAGCACGCCGGAACTCACCGGGAAGGGGGGGCTATTTGCTGCTATGAGAGGGAGTGGTGTTTTAAAGTGCCTCCTCACCTTTTTCGACGATGCACTGCGCGATAGAATGTGCGAATTGATTCGTAGTTCAAGAATACACATTTCGTTAAAAGTGTGTGTGATGTAGTCTCCAGGTTTGCTCTATGAAATTTTTAACTGGCTTACAACGCCTCCTCACGTCTTCCGACTTCCGCTTTTAGCTTTTTGCCATTTCCGCTAAAAGGGGTGCATATCGCTAAAAGGGGTGCACGAAGCCTTGACGTATCACTGAAAGGGGTGCACGACGCCTTGACGTGTCGCTACAAGGGTTGCAAAAACATTTGATGTGCACTCGTCTTCGTCGTTTTTGCCATTCCCGATGCCCATTCCTTTTCGCTAAAAGAGGTCGACACCGGGTCTGCCATGGGTGCTCGAGCGTGAAATGCAGTTGGAATCTAATACAATGCGGAAATGACCGTTAATAACGAATAATAATTGTTGGCGCCTATTCCATGAGTTTTCGCTCGCCTTAATGTTACGCCTGATGCTGGACCTTTAAAATGTGTGATGCATAACCCCTGCGCTTTGATTTTATTTCTCGCTCAACTGCCGTATTGACGGATAAAGATGCACCATAATTGCAATGATTCACATCTGCGATAGTGAGAACTGTACGAT